CCCACCCTGCTCCCCCATTTGCTGCATCAAGCGGAAGTATTTGTTTCCCCACGTGCAGTACCTCGGTCTCATCTCTTTACCTATGTGCCTTGGTTTTTATTCAAAAGTATTGTACAGGACGGAGAGATAAGCTTTCCAACAGTTGAACATGCAGTGCCCAGTTGAGTGCCATTGAACGGCTGGTATTTAACTTGGGCTTTATTATTACCTCCTGCTTCAGAAAGTGCCTCTACCAAGATGACGTCACATGTTCCCAGGGGAAATTCTATAGTAGGGGAGGCCAGCCCAGATCCTGCCCAGGAAGCCATGTTGTAGCAGCAGCCTGTTAAGATCAGGAAATTTTGGTTACCTTTGAAAAGTGTCTCTTTCCCCTCTGGCTAAGGTACCATTGGAGGAAGATCTAGAGTAGTGGTTCTCCACCTGTGAATCCCCAGATATTGTTGGACTACAACTCCCATCATCCTTAGCTAGCCAGGCCAGAGCTTAGGGATGATGGGAGTTGTAGTCCAACATCTGGGGACCCACAGGTTGAGAACGGCTGATCTAGAGGCTCTGAGAGGGAACACACCATTTCTTGCAGTGGTGGCTCCCAAAAGGAAGAAGAGATTTTTTACATGGGAAAAGAAGAAGTCCTGATCTAGGGGATGTTCCTCTCCTAGCCCAGTACTCCCATCAGGAAAAATGCTATTGAAAAGATCTCTGTCTCTCCCTCCCCGCCCTGTTTTTCTGCTGATCAGCAGAAGGGGAGGGTATGTCTGATATATGGCTAGTGACTGTGTTGGCCACTTCTGGCACATGGCTGTCAGTGGGTTGACCTCAACAGCGTCCTTCAGCTGAAAGAATTAGGCCACCCTCATTCTTTAAGGAGGTTTTGTAGAATTTCTGAGCATTTGTGGGTGGGTGGGTGGGAATCTATAGTAGGCGGCAGTCAGAATTAACCAGCATTCTTATACATAGTTGCTTTGCCCTTTCTTACCCATCCGTGAGTTCAAAGAACAACTCTGCAATAACTTAGTTAGGATAGCGTGCTACATGAATGATGCTGAAGTGAAGGTACCATGTAGACAAAGGTGTCTGTAAATGCATCATCTATCAGGGATTTTATTATTTTGCTGATGTAACAAGGTCAGTGCATAGACAGGGTAGTGATATTAAACAGGGAATAACTGCTGTGTGGCACAGTTGTGCACTCAACCGGGGTTTCCCAAACTTGGGTCGCCAGCTGTTTTTGGACCATTTCCATAATCTCTGAGCATTGCTTCTGCTAGCTAGAGATGACGGGAGTTGTAGTCTCAACAGCACCTAGTCTAAATGATAGTTTAGGCCAGGTGTGACCCTCCAGATGTTGCTGAACTACAACTCCCACTAGCCTTGGTCATTGGCCATACTTGCTGGGACTGATGTGGCTTGTAATTTAGGAAGCTCTGGAAGGCCAAAGGTCTCTCCCCCCCCTCTACCCTTTGTTTAGGCAAATTCAACCATGCAAATGACGTGAAATGCCCTTTCTTCATGTTTAAAATATAGTACAAACCAGTATTACTTGCAGACATGTCCTGTCACAAACTGTAGCTGTTCAATGCCAGCCAAAGGCTGCTTACCACAGCATCCTGTTGGAGACAAACAAAGTAAGACGTTGTTGATGAAAAACAGGAAAGCACCTTGCTGCATATCCCAGCTGCTCTAGGGCTGCGCTGATGCCGATACCTCGGGTGCTGGCACAAGAGCTCCAGTGACCTTAAACTGGAGCCTAAGAGGATCGCAATATCTCCTTGCTGCACCAAGTTAGAGCCTCTCCCTTGTCCTGAAGCCTTAAGGCAATTACTAGTGGGGAATCTTTGCCCCTCCAAATGTTGCTAACGACAACACCCATCAGCAATAGCAAGCGTAGCCAATGTCCCAGAATGATGGGAGTTGTAGTTCAGTAACATCCCGAGGGCTAAAGGTTCACTCACCTTCTCTGTAGCCCAACAGCTCTGCGGAATGGAGGCTGTTGACATTTTGCAAGCGAAAGGCTCCCCCCGAACACTCCCTTGGCCTCAAAGTAAAAAGCTGGGGTTTGTCATGTTCTCTTGTGCCACATGCCAGTATATTTCCCTTGCACTCAGGCAAGCAGCCTGCCTTACTCATGTTAACGCAGGTGGCATCGTAGAATTGGGAGGGACCCCCCTCCCTGAGGATCATCTAATCCAACCCTCCGCAATGCAGGAATCACAATTAAGGCATGAGCTACATTAGAGCAATTCTAAGAACTAGGCAATATAGTAAAATCTAATGTAAGCTAGCAGAGCTCTGCAAACTTGAAATGGAGCAAACAACACTGTATGAGATGTTAAAGGTGGCTAAGTCGCCTTCCCCTCCAGATCTGTTTCCTAAACCTCCCATAAGATTTTGAGGACGCATTGGATGATCAGGCCAATGCTGTCGGATGTCACCCTGCTGTTACGTAGAAAAATGTGACAGCAAAGACCAATTCACATTTAGCTGTCAAGTGTGTGTACATGAGATATATACACTGGAGGGTGGGAATCCTCTTCCTCTCGAACAGCCTTTCTCAACCTGTGGGTCCCTAGATGATGTTGGACTACAACTCCCATCACCCCTAGCTAGCAAGGCCAGAGCTCAGGGATGATGGGAGTTGTAGTCCAACATCTGGGGACTCACAGGTTGAGAACCACTGCTCTAGAATGTGTTATAAATGAACTGGAGCTTGTAAATGTGCCTCTGACCAGGAGGAGGCTGTGCTGCCTTCCACAAAGGCACACATGGGGGAAATTGTGGCCTGCCATATGCTGTTGGGGCTACACCTCCCATCATTCCTGACCACTGGCTGTGCTGCCTGGGGCTGACGGGAGTTGAGAAGTCCATGCATACGCAGTGCTTGGTTCATAGAAAACTTGTAGACAGAACTGGGTGGCTGAAGTTGCTCAGTGTCACTCCTGGAACAGTAGTTTCCAACCCTGTTTTCCCAAATGAGGAAGAGGCAAAGGGCAAGCTAGCCATTGGCCCCATAAATAAATGTTTTACCAGTTCTGATGCTTTCATTTAGCCCGAATGCCTTTCCTCCATTGACTGACTCGTCACATATTGGGGAGGGGGGGGAGTTTACCTGGGATTGATAATCCTTTGTGGTGGGGGGGAGAGCATGTGTGAATGAGTTGTATTTGGGAACAGAAGCACTGTGCAAAATATTGGTTTGAAAACTTACCAATAAAGGTGATACGAGGACCAAAAGGCTCGATGGAGATTAAAGGCACCTAGCAATTGACCAGTGATAAACTGCTTCGCTAGTGAAAAATATATGTAAAAGGGAAAGGTTCCCAATACATTTGCAATATTTTTGTACTTTAACAATACCTTACAAGTATTTGGTCCTTTGGAAGACATTTTACCCATACAGTGTTAAGGTAAAATTTGGAGACAATGTTGGGAAGGGAATGTGTTTATAAAACTTGTATCTATTTACCTCAGCATATGTACTTTGTATTATGACTTTTTAATAAAAGTTTGTCCATCTGCTTGACTAGTGTTGTTCCATTAATATTGACTCACTATACACTGAGCCTCTTGGGCTTGCCGATCGGAAGGTTGGCGGTTCGAATCCCCATGTTGGGGTGAGCTCCCATTGCTCTGTCCCAGCTCCTGCCAACCTAGCAGTTCAAAAGCACGCCAGTGCAAGTAGATAAATAGGTACCGCTCCGGCGGGAAGGTAAACGGGATTTCCGTACGCTCTGGTTTCTGCCACGGTGTCCCGCTGCGCCAGAAGCAATTTAGTCATGCTGGCCACATGACCCGGAAAGTTGTCTGTGGACAAACGCCAGCTCTGTCAGCCTGAAGCGAGATGAGCGCCACACCCCTTAGTCACTTTTGACTGGACTTAACCATCCAGGGCTCCTTTACTTTTTTAAAGAATTTGTCCTCTTGAGCACAACATGGATTAATTTGAGAATATTTCAGATCAGCCATTTTAGAATGACACCCCATAGCTGTCATTGACTGGACTTAACCGTCTAGGGGTCTTTTACCTTACCTTTACCTTACTATATTCATCCCACCTTTTCTACAGAAGACCTAAAGGTGGCAAACATGGCTTATCCTCCTGAAAAACAAAGTGGGGAAGGTTACACCCAGTGTGGTTTACCACAATGCCACTCAAAAGTGGTGGCCCACAGACCACTGCCTGCCTGAATGTCATCAGCTCCTACTTGACAGTGACTCCACCACATCCCAGACCAGGTGGGACCCCTCAGGGACCAAATACGGTATTGGGGGAGGGGAGTGGCCAGACTACCGCATCCAATAGCTTGAGAAGCCCTTCCTTAGCAGAAATTGGCCTGGTTTTGATACATCATTAATTCTTTTGCCTGGAGCGTGTATATGTCTAAGGTGGGGGACTGTGACAATGTTCCTTCTCCTCCCATAAGAGAAAAAGGTGCCACTTTTTGAATATTTCTCCATCTCAACAGCCTCCTACATGTTCCAATTAGTATTTAGTGCTGGAGACATTTAAATACTGCACACTCAAAGGGAGAAGAAAAATAGAGGTGTCATGAATCAATTTTTATTTGACCCATTTTGATTTAGTCACCAATCTAGCAGCCGCATTCTAGATTAGTTATAGTTTCCAAGGCACCTTCAAAGGTAAACCCACATAGAGCGCATTGCAGTAGAGCAAGTGGAAGATAACCAGAGCATGTACCATGACTAAAGGATTTCAGGCTCAAGAGATACAGTCAGTTCTCATTTCATGCTGGTAAAAAGGGAAAATAAACAGAAGTTACTTCATTTCAAGAAACATATAATGCACAAATTAATGCATAGAGAACTGTCCATATCAGGCTGCAGATCACAATACCTGTTCCAAATTCAAAACTTTGATATGCCTGGTTCCAAGTCAGAATCTCTCTCTCTCTCTCTCTCTCTCTCACACACACACACACACACACACACACACACACCCCTTACCTGGTTGCACCTTTAAAAAAAGAAATAGCACACCTCAGAAGATTTTATATTATTGAACTTTATGTACAAAATCCAATTTCAAATAAACATTTAATGTAAAAACAAAAAGGTCCATTAAACACTTCTTTATATCTACTGTACCATTCAAATGTTCACCCAGTTTACATGATTTATTGAAAGTCTCATTAAGGGTACATATAGAAAATCCATCTTTATTATAAATAGAAACAAAGGGATTCTCAGCTTTTATTATAAATTGACATGACATACAAAGTTTATTGGACATAAGTAATTTCATTACTATTTTGGGAGGGGTCACCAACTTTTTTGTGCAAACAATGCTAGCCTCCTTTTAAGCATTAAGAGCGCAGCTGCTTAAGAAGTGACATAAGCAATAGTTCTACAACTACGTCTCTCCTAAAATATATTTTTTTACATATGTGCACAGCTTTAGCAAATTAAAGCCCAAGAGAAATGCTTGACCGGCTATTCAAAGGTGTAATAAGAGTTTGCTACAACTCAAGAGCAGGAAATTCGAGAAGTCTAAAGAAAGCTGCAGTCTCCCCCTCTTTCCTACCGACACAAATCTGTGACCAAGAACTTAATACTGGATGACAAATCACATCCACACCATTAGTTAAATAGTCTCACAGTTAAACACATCTTTAGGGACCAAAGTCAGTATTTACAGTTTTATAAATTTCTGGAAAAAAACCCATTACAAAGCTTACCCCCACCCCCACCCCAAACAAAAAACAAAAACCAACAGGGATCTGCCTTCTTGTGGTGGTGGAATGAAATAAAAAATTAGAAACACCTGTATTTACATAATCAATCCTTTATAAATAAAGAATATGAAAAAATGAACTATTCAAGAATTTTTTAAAAAATGAGGCAATGCCACTCAACTACAGTGCTTGCTGGAATAAACCCTTGAAGCTGATACTGTACCAGTAGTGAAGCTACTTTCCATTGGAAAAAAGAAAATCTGTAAACATGTGCATAAAATGTGTTAGCAGTGCAAGACTGCACAGGTTAGCATCTGTATTGAATGCAATACATCACAGAGTACTTGCATAAGAAGTGCAACACATTTTCTGGCCTAATTTTACAGTGCATTTCCCCTTCAAAACTAGCAACCAAAAATTCTCTTTTAACGCCATGCTTCGATCTTACAGTCTGTATATAGGCAAAATAGGTACATATCCAGGCACTGCCTACCATGGACTCCAGGTGTTAACACTTGATCTCTTAGCCAAAAGGCCGAGAAGCCATCTCTAGGTGTTAAACAAAGCATTCTAGTAAACAACTCTCAACAGTTATGCTTGATTAGGTTAAAGCTTTGATCTAGTACACCTTGTTATCTGCAGATTCGTTCGGACTACTGACAGAATTAATATGGTACTTCCCCTGTGTTTGTAATGAGAAAAGCAGAGGTTGTTGGTTTTTTTTCCAAAAAAGGTTTGAGACAAAGAAGTGCTATGTTACAGCTGAATGTTTAAAAAGTGTTTAGAAATTTGCAATCTGTAGTTTGACACCTATAAGATCAAGGTAAACTTTAAATGGTGTGTTATTTGCCACAAAAAAAAGTTAACCTAAGGAATTTCTAAGTACAAAGCATAAACTGTCCGAATCTCTTTCCCTAATTTTCAACTCCATGGTAGGAAAGACAGCCAGTACAGATGCAAAAAAAATAATTAAAAAAAAATCTTTATATAAAAACTGGTTTACATATACTCAAGTTATGTAAATTCAGTACAGTTCATAATTAAAATTCCCAAAAATTGTATTGCTCTTCATGCTCAAACTTTGAGTATTGTCATTACACCACTAGAACTGATATACATGTAGTACTTGCATAATCAACTCAAAAGGAACCATATTGTTGAAATCCTGTTTCCAGCAGTGCCTGTTAGGAGCCTGTGTGTCATATTAAATTCCTTATAAGAGTTCATGCATCTTAAAATGTCACTTCATTGTTTGTGCATTGAATGCCCCTTTGCTCTACTTTTCAGATCTTCTGTTTTCTATTCTGTTTTGCCATACATGAGATAGCATCCATTTCTGAGGATCTTTCCCGAGTGTTAGTTTCACTGCAGCCATTGGTTATTCCAGTTTGTTCTTCAGAAATCTCCTCCGTTGTTGTGGTAGCAGCAGACTCTCCTTTTTCTACTTTCTGCTGCATTTCTCGAAGCTTAGTAACAGCTTTGTCTATGGACATTATGCTTATAAGGTTAAAGTCATGCATGCTGACCAGGTGAAGCATGAAGTTTCGACACAAGTTCTTCTTAATTATTTTGTGTCCATAATTTTCAACAAACAGCATACAGGCATGATTCATTTGATTGTCTGCAATAAACCTGTAACATAAAAAATGATGCAAGGCATTATTACAGATTTGGGTGCCCAAAGATGCCTATAATACCAAAATCCTGCTCAGACATGCTGTCATGTAATACTTGCTTCTCCACAATTCCTACATAGGGTTTTTGAAATGCTCAGTAGTTCACACAATAAAAAACACACGTTAAAATAACAGATACAGTGGTGCCCCGCAAGACGAAAAACTCGCTAGACAAAAGAGTTTTCCGTTTTTTGAGGTGCTTCGCAAGACGAATTTCCCTATGGGCTTGCTTCGCAAGACGAAACGTCTTGAGAGTTTGTTTCCTTTTTCTTAAAGCCGCTAAGCCGTTAATAGCCGCTAAGCCGCTAATAGCCGTGCTTCGCAAGACGAAAAAACCGCAAGACGAAGAGACTCGCAGAACGGATTAATTTCGTCTTGCGAGGCACCACTGTATGTGAAATGCTTAAAAGCATTTCAGGGTTGTTGTTTTATTTTTAATTGTCACCTAATCACTTTTCATAAATTTATAAAATTGAAGTTCTAAGTACGCACCCGTGCTTCATAACGTGTAGATTCCATAATTTCATCACTTCTTTTTCTCCTTCATTCACATCTGAAAACTCTTCAATTTGCTGCAGTGAGACAACCATTTAAAGGTCATTAGCATGCATCTATTTAAGTCAGGCATTGCTTGGCTTGTTTTTCCCCATCATCTGCTTATTACTGTCATAATTGCTCTGCATAGGCAGTACAATTCCACACAGCCAGAACTAAGCAGCAAGAGCTGGGGAAAGACACACAGTTTTGCTACAAATGTCCCTGAAGTTACTTTTGGAAGAAAGCGAAGAGATAAGTTAATATATTTTGGGAGGGGAAGGGGGAATACAGTGGTACCTCGGGTTACATATGCTTCAGGTTACATATGCTTCAGGTTAGACTCTGCTAACCCAGAAATAGTGCTTCAGGTTAAGAACTTTGCTTCAGGATAAGAACAGAAATCATGCTCAGGCGGTGCGGCGGCAGGAGGCCCCATTAGCTAAAGTGGTGCTTCAGGTTAAGAACAGTTTCAGGTTAAGAACGGACCTCCGGAACGAATTAAGTACGTAACCCGAGGTACCACTGTATAGGGAACAGGCCTTGTGCTCGCATCTAAGTGTTTACGCTAACAGAGAATATTTGGGGGATTTTGTGCAATGGCAGAGAGAAATGTGAGGGGAAAGTCTATTAAATTCCTTTAGTAGGTTGATGCAAAGGCTCTTTCACTTCAGTTTACACATTATTTGAATTGGAGGTTTCATTTAAAATAATTGTTAGATATCACTTCATGTCAAATCAAAAGGATGAAACAGGAACAGAAAGCTGAATGCTGTAAAAAAGGAGGGATGTTACATTATTTGGTGGTGTGGTCCTGCGATACCAACATTATGGAGGTGAACTGTAAGGAAAATTAAGGCTGTAATGGAGGTAAATATTTCTTCAGCCCTTTTAAATAATTTTATTTTAATAATTTTATTAGGATTTTTGGAAGAAACAGAAGAACTAGATTTTGTGGGTTTTTTATTGGTGGCAGACAAAATACTAATTGAAAAAAGGAAGAAGTCCAAAAATGATTAGAAGTTTAAATGTTAAAAATAATCAAGTTGGCAAAGTTAACCTGCTGGATTAAATAACAGAATAAAAAAGAAGTCTGTAAAATTAATTATTTTGAAACTTCAAAAAAAATATATGTAAAAGTAATCTAATTTTAAGTGGAAATTAGATCAAATTAATGGAGTTCTAAGCAGGTGTTTATAGATATGGAATATATATAGATTTAAAATAATTGTTGTATTTAAATGATCAATGTATAGGTTTAAATATTAATTTGTTATCTGAAGAAATGTATTTTCAGATTTTGTGATTCTTATGAGCATTTTGTTTCTAAAGCTGAAATTATAGCAGTAATAATAAAAAGAACAGGTTCCTTCATGAGCCTAAAATGGGTTGTGACAAATGAGGATTGCCATGCCTAACTTCAGTTTCCTAAACAGTCTGCAATGTTTTGTATTACGATTATTTGTGTGGCATCCAAGAATGTCAGTCTGCCAACAGAATGGACAAAGCAGGTGGAATTCCTTTTCTTCCTACAGCACTCCCAAATAACCCTGCTCTGGAGAGTTGGGGGTCACACCAATACAGATTTGGGGAGGGGTGTGTGGGAGTTGCAAGAGCGAGGAGAGGAAATCAAAGCCTGCTCATGTGACGTTAGAGGTCACTCTTAAATCTTCCTTGCCAAACTAGTCCTAGGCCATTACTGAATAGTCTAGTATTGTCCAAGTCATAATATTCTGTTACGATAGCTTCTAGCAGACATTCAGTATCCGGCAATTCCAAAATGTTTTTGGCACAAAAATGTGTGTGCATGAAATCGTAACTGCCTCTGACAGTCACAACCTTCTATTTAGCAGGAAGAAATCCCTCATTGTTATATATTTAACATGGCTTTTAATTTGTATTCATGTTAAATTTTTACACATGGATGATTTATGATGGCCAATACTTGTAATGTTTAATAAAGGTTTGGCAAAGTAAGCAAGCTAGTCACAACCATCAATTTGGTCCCGTTTTATCACCAAGCTCGTCTATTGCCCATATCCAATATTTCACCACCCCATAAAAACTAATTGTGTTAATAGATGGCTTCCTCAACCTCGGCCCTCCAGATGCTTTTGGCCTACAACTCCCATGATCCCTAGCTAGCAGGACCAGTGGTCAGGGATGCTGGGAATTGTAGTCTTAAATCATCTGGGGGGGGGGGCCGAGGTTGAAGAAGCTTGGATTAAGATATAGTATCGCAATGTGCCTTTTCCAAGAATGCAAAGTGGGAAACACAGTATGTAGGTTTGTCCCATGGAAAGCAGGAATATCGTTCAGCAAAAAAACCCCTATCTGCTGTTGGACAAAGTTACCGTGATAGTTTTCTCCCTTAGCCACTCAGGGTCCTTTTCATCTTCACTGTCAACTTCCATTTCTTGTGGACGGAGAGGTAAGCATGTATCACTGTGGAAGTATAACCGATTGTGTCCACTGCTGTATGTTCTTTGCTGTTCCACTTCTCCATCTTCAGATTCAAGGAATTCGGACATGCTAGCTTTTGTACGCTTTGGTCTGGAAAAAAAGATGCATGTAGAAGAGGGAAAAAACAGCATGTATGGTTTGTAGCAGGTACCTAAAAGCCTGGCAGCCATATATCTGCAACGCATAGAACAGATGATACCTACAAAGCTCACTTTTCAGTCGGATCAGGGCTATTCTATGATTCTAGAGTTGATGCCCCACCTGCAATTTACCAAGACCTTAACCACATCCACGAAAAGAAGGCCAGAGGGGTAGCCATGTTAGTTTCTTGCAGAAAAAACAACCAAAAGTTTTATATGAGTAACCTTTAAGGTGCCACAAGACACTTTGCTGCATTTGTGGGGGGAAGTGGAAATATATACAATGGCTAAGCAATATGGAGTGTCATTGCTGCACATTTCCAACTATTTCGAGTACCCAAAATAGTCTGTTTTGACAGGTTTCTGCCTCTGCATAGTATGTCACTAACGAATTATCTGAGCCTGACTAAAAATCAAGCTCTGATAAGTGGTATCACAATGTCCTAGCAACCAAACTAGCTGGATACCGCAGAGTAAGAATAAAGAGCTTTGTTTAATTTTCTGACTTCTATAGCTATGGGAGTAACATTCGGATCACTGCAGCAACATTAGTAACAGCACAATCCTAGCCTTGTATATGCTACTGAATCCATTGGGGCTTACACACAAGTGGGGTTAGGACTGCGGCCAAAGTTACTAGAAAATAGGAAGATTTAGATTGGATGCTATAAATTAAACCAATTTTTGTTAGGCCTGCGCGTTTTAATAGGTTTTGCTTGGTAGAAGAACCAAGTGATCAGAGGAGACCAATTGGAATCAGCAGAGCTATGAAAGAAGAGCAGACTATTTCATTGTTTGAGGCTGTGGCATTGCAGGAATAGCAAAGTATTAAGGATGGCCTTTACTTTCACTGGGGGGTAATGTTTATTAATGGAATTTCTTCAGTGTGTCAAAGCAGGCTTCCACGCTTTCATTTGTCACAGTGGCTATGGACACATGTAAAACTGAATCAAACTATGGCTTAGTATGAAGCAGCAAGAATGCTAATGCGGTGAGAAAACGGCAGTCATTGTGCTCTTACGCTGCTCCTGCTGTACTCCTGTGAGCTAAGCCATGGTTTGGGCTTAGCGTTACATTTGTTTGGGGAGCCAAACAATGAACTCAGATTGAGACATAATGCTAAACCAAACCATGGCTTAGCATGGCAGCAGCAGGACTGGAGAGAAGCACAGCGGCCATGGTTAATGTCCAAATGTTTCAAAAGGCAGGCATAAGAAAAGTTCCTCAGTTGACAGTCCTAAATTAAAGTTATGTTTAGGTTTGTCGCTGAATTTAATTTATGTACTCTACTTTGATCAATCCCCACCACTGGCTTTATTTAACAAGCAGCACATATACCAATGAAGTTAAATGGAATGTGCTATTGTGCACCACTATAATATGCATGTCCTACAAAGAGGAGGGCAATTTTTAATTTCCACTGTGGAAGTGGGAAGACAACATGGAGATCGAGAACATACAGTAATAAAATTGTTGTAACTCGCTTTAAGATTTTCAGTAGCAGGCAGTACAGAAACGTTTTAATAGAGAGATATAAACAGATAAACAGATGAATAAGATCTTACAGACAGGGAATGCAAACAGTTGCAGATATCTGCAGAACACGATTTCCTACCAACCTGCATACAAGAATGTGCGTAATTGGTGTTCGCTTGACTGGCCCATTACGACTGAATGCAAACCCAGGCTGGCGATGAATATCCTGAGGATTTCCTGCATATGAGCCATCATAACACTCATTGATGGAAACATCTATCCTAGCACCTTTGGGATGATACTGTAATAAATAAATATTTAGCATCGTAAGTGTTAATTGCAACCACACATTCCTTCCGCGACGTGAAAACTCTGCTTTTCTTGACACATCTCTTAATCTGGCTAAAGCCCCTGAACACCGAAACAGCAGCGTTAACCGAATTTATAACCTCTTCCAGTTCTATCACACAATGATTAGAAACCAAGTCTCAACCACTCTTAGTTTGCTTTCGGGCAGGTTAGTTATGAAAGTTATTGTAGCTGCACTTTTGTCACTCTGCCTTGAAAGTATCAAAGTTGTTTCACTTGACCTTCTGACTCGGTATCATACCAAGAGCAGTCCTCTGCCAAGGTAATAATATCAACCGCTGCCCTTGTGCTCGCAGAAGGGCTTTTGACCCAGTGAAAACACCTGCCAATGAAACTAGTGGGGAGGCTATTTCCCCAAATTCCATTTCCCCTGCACCCCCCAATGCCTCATTCTACCCTACAATGGTACCTCCGGTTGCGAATGGGATCCATTCTGGAGGTCCAGCTGCACCCCGAGGAATTCGCAACCAGAGGACCGCTTCTTTGCATGCACGCAGCGCGGTTTAGCACTTCTGTGCATGCAGCGAAACCTGGAAAAATACTTCCAGGTTTGCCATGTTCGCATCCTGAAGTTTACGTATCCAGAGGGATACGTATGCGGAGGTACAACTGTATTATGGAGGATCCCCCAACCCTCTAGAGCGGATCTTCCAGGGTGCCAGGGGGGAAATCAGCAGATCCTCTCCCTTCGTCTCGTTAGTGGATCAAGAGTCCTTGTGTGAGCATAGGAGCAGCAACTGGATTCCCTCCGCACCAGAGGTGTTACAGAGATACAAGGAAAAATACTTACCACGTAATTGAAAATAAACCGGCTATGACAAAGCTTGAGATGTTTGAGTAAACTGTAAAGTTTACGGCAGTTCAGTGTGCACCAGGGGCAATGCAAGTCATCTCTAGCTTCAGTCTGCTGCCTTGTATTGTTGTTATACAGGAACTGGCAAAAACAAGAGCTTGTTATTAGTATAAAGTTGTCTCCTCTTTTTCTGCTATTCAGATGGGAAGCAGTGCTTGCTAATGGTCAGGTCTAATCAGGCATCGTCTCAAATATTAAGATTTTTCAATACCTGATAGAATATTCTCAGTTTCTGTCGAGGCTCATTTGAAACATCCCTTTCTTTTCTTGCCTGCAGGTCTGGCGGCAAAGATTCTTTTACAGCTGCAAAAGAACACGGATGTCACTAACTGTATTACTGTTCAAAACAAACCTCTACAGGACTCAATGTTTTGTAAGCAAAGTGCCCCCATTTTGTTATAAGTAGCTGATTAGCAAAAGGGAATTGAGTGGTCTCATTGAATAGTTACACACATTTCAGAACACAAGACAGGGCTCCTAATTAAGACAACAAGTAGGAGAGCATAGCATGCTTTTAGCACTAGCTTCAACCTCTCTTCCTTTTTTTTAAAAAAACAACTTCCACTTTTTAGTGCATAAAAAGTACAAAAGAAGAAGAAAACAAAAAGAACCTCTTGTAACATATGAATGGATTGCTGATGAACATAGACCGTGTATGGACAAATACACTGACAATTGGAATGCATTTATAAAAAATATAGCAGGAAATAAATAAATGAATGAATGTATTAAAATAATCATTCCACTTATATACCTTTGTATTAGACAAGCGTGTATGCAATCACCCCTACTTGACATACTACCTAGATTTGTTCTTGGAAAATAATTATGTTAATCTTGCAAACAAACACAGACTCCAAGCCTATACTACATTTGTATCAGCCCTTCCTTCCATGAAGCTTATTATCCCATTCTATGATTTTAAACGCTTGCCTAAAGCTATCCACAACCTTCATGGCTGAGCAGCTATGTCTAACACACCATCTACTAAATCACACAAGAACCTAGTCAGTGTATGAACTTTTTAACAATTGGCTGAACAAAAAAACACCTTTATTATAATTCCTCACGGTAGACCACTCCTTTTCACCCACCAGCATGGCAGCATACCATGATTTTCAAGAACCTTTTGATAAGAAGAAAAAAGTATTTCCACCCTCAGAAATACAAGGCAAACGATGCTTCACACATTATAATACTGCCACCACTAAAATTCTCACATCAATTTCACTTTTCCCACCAATCTTTTTTGGAGTGAAAACTGCTCTGCATCTAAATCTTCCCCATACCTGTGCCACTGCTACATGCTGATGAAAGGAATTGGAAGCAGTACAGTTGCTTTTTAATGGATATTCTCAATATTACTAATGTGAACCCCCTTGCTTTGGCACCTTGTGTGAGGGAACTGCTTCCCCTGCCCTAAATTCGGCGCTGGCTTAAGAGTCATATAGCTAAAGACAGCACTAAAGGTCTTCAAGATCCACACATTGATTCTTTGCAGATATAAGAACCAATATATCCAATACATTCTGGCCAGTGACTGAAATAAATCAATTCACTCATTCATTCAATATATCCAATACCATGACACTAAGAATGGTTCTCACCTAAAAGGTGACATGGATGGTTATACTGTCCTCTTGTGAGATGACAGAAAACAGAGCTCTTTGCCCCTTACTTACACACACACACACACACACACACACACACACACACCCCTGCTCTGGGTCAAGACTAAGGTTACCAGGTTTTTTTCAATGAATCCAGGGACACTTTTTAACTTCAGTAGGAATGATAGGATATATTGCATATAGGACTGATATGTAAAACTGGAGACTGTCCCCAGGAAATGGGGACGTCTGGCAACCTTAGTCAAGACAGGGAAAGGACTGGTCAAGAGGAGAAGGAAAGTAAGTAGCTAACCATGTGATTCCGGTCTTATGGCACTAGAGGGCAGCATAACCCACCATGTGATGTGCTTACCACCTTTGGAGAGCTCAAAAATACCATGTTTCACCTTCTGTACCTTGGTGAAAGGTGAACTACGCAAAATTCCATCTGGCAGAACGAAAAAACCTCAGCAACCACGTTTTCTTGTTATTTTGACATACACTTCTATCATGCAGGTCATGATCTTTTAACCATTACTGAGATGCTTACTTGCCTTCTGTTAGCCTGATTCTGCTTAATATCAGCTAGGGTTTCTCTTCACTGGAATTTGCTAACAGTTAAAATCTGTAAGAACAATGTGCTTGTTTGCATGAGGTGGGAGTACTCAATGGTTAGGAGAGGTTGCCTGCACTGATGTTTAATGTCATTTCTAATTGTTATAACTGTCAGAGTGTGTGTAGACTGCCCCAGTTATTTTAACAACTGGCAGCCCCCATTCTATGGAACAGCATTTCTGTTGAGATACAACAAGCATAATAATAATAATAATAATAATAATAATAATAATAATAATAATAATAATAATAATAATTTATTATTTATACCCCGCTTATCTGGCTGGGTTTCCCCAGCCACTCTGGGCGGCTTCCTAAAAAATATTAAAATACAATGGTCTGTTAAACATTAAAAGCTTCCCTAAACAGGGCTGCCTTCAGAAGTCTTCTAAAAGTCTGGTAGCTGTTTTTCTCTTCGACATCTGGTGGGAGGGTGTTGGGTGTTCCACAGGGCAGGTGCCACTACCAAGAAGGCCCTCTGCCTGGTTCCCTGTAACCTCACTTCTCGCAGGGAGGGAACCGCCAGAAGGCCCTCGGCGCTGGACCTCGGTGTCCGGGCAGAACAATGGGGTTGAGACGCTCCTTCAGGTATATTGGACCAAGGCCGTTTAGGGCTTTAAAGGTCAGCACCAACACTTTGAATTGTGCTTGGAAATGTAAAGCATCCATTATTTGTACTTTCTGGAAATAACTGAGGAGATTTTTGTTTTGACAAGCTTAGATGTTCATATTGCATCATTTTTAAAACCACTTTCAGTTGGTTTTTGTACACAGTGGAACCTCAGGTTACAGACGCTTCAGGTTACAGATGCCGCTAACCCAAAAATAGTACCTCAGGTTAAGAACTTTGCTTCAGGATGAGAACAGAAATTGCGCCATGGCGGCGCAGCGGCAGCAGCGGGAGGCCCGATTAAAGTGGTGCTTCAGGTTAAGAACAGTTTCAGGTTAAGAACGGACCTCCGGAACGAATTAAGTTCTTAACCAGAGGTACCACTGTACTTCAAATGCATGGCAACATTAATGCTCTACATTTGTATTAGCTCCTGGGGAAAATAGCTGAAAATAAATTCAATTTCAGCCTTCCCTAAGATTCAAAAGAATCTGAATCAAACCAGTTCTAAGAATACTTTCCCAGCATTCCTTGAAACTACTGAAACACTTAAAATATTAAGATTTTTACAGTTTGAATCTCGACTCCTGATTCATTACAAGAAGTCTTTACAGCAGGTTTTAACAGGCTGCAAAGAGGGAAAAAGTGTGTCAAGAGAATGTTTGAAACCAAAGGGAACAAAGCTTCAATGTTTTAAAAAGCTGCACGTATCAAGAGTAAGGTAAAGGTAAAGGTACCCCTGCCCGTACGGGCCAGTCTTGACAGACTCTAGGGTTGTGCGCTCATCTCACTCTAGAGGCCGGGAGCCGGCGCTGTCCGCAGACACCTCCGGGTCACGTGGCCAGCGTGACGAAGCTGCTCTGGCGAACCGGCACCAGAGCAGCACACGGAAACGCCGTTTACCTTCCCGCTAGTAAGCGGTCCCTATTTATCTACTTGCACCCGGGGGTGCTTTCGAACTGCTAGGTTGGTAGGCGCTGAGACCGAGCAACGGGAGCGCACCCCGCCGCAGGGATTCAAACCGCCGACCATACGATCGGCAAGTCCTAGGCGCTGAGGTTTTACCCACAGCGCCACCCGCATCCCTTACCTATCAAGAGTATTCTCCTGATAAAAATAGGCTTGTGTTCATCAAGATATATCTGACCAATTTAAGAAAATAAACACTTTGTGAATAACTGTTTTCCACACAATACAGACACCTGCATTCCAAAACACGCTAGCATCCAGAATATCCCAGTTTTATCACCAAGAGCAGAGGGTGAGCATTGAGGGGAAATTCACAAAACCATATTCCGCAAACCAAAATAAGCCCAATTCACCCTAAACATCTTTTGTATTTATCAGAAATCTTCGTTTCTTTTATCACATATGAACTGCTAAAGATGAAAATGGAAACTCTTACAAAATTAATCAACCTAAATAGAAATATAAGCAACCCCAAACAAGCTGCAGATTTAAGTGTGGGGCTCATTAGGGAGTGGCACTCCGCTTATGGATGGAGGGAGCTGCTTCCGTCTGACTTTTGGAAATTCCCCTCTTCCTTCTCAGGTTCTCCTCCCCAACCCCACCCAAGATATACTGTGTGTTTATAAGCTTCATAAAAACAGGTAACAAGACCATTCACCAACAACTTTTTATCTATTCCATACTGAACATATCCAACTCATGTAAACATTAAAAAACAGCATGGAAATATAAATGTAAGCAGGAAAAAAGCTATTAACACAATAGACTTAAAACAACATAACTTGAAGTCACAGTTGGCAGCAGAAAACAGACTAGAAAATAAGGAAACTGCAATAGTGAGCAGAGGCGTTATATAAAGAAGGGACCGACTGGAGTTCCCTACGCATAGAAATTCCTAAGAGGGTACCATGATAGGGAAAAGAAAACTCTTACAGATCACAGCAACGAAAGGGATGGAGTACATGCAGAATTTCAGTTGCTGATCTCACAGTGTGATGAGGCAAGTATAGAAGCAGGTGTTCCCAAAGGTATGCAGGATGCAAACGTTAAGGGCTTTAAAGGTCAACATGGTCATACTGAATTGGGTTCAGGAACAAATCCAAAACAGTGCAGTTGGACCAGCACCCGACTGACAGACTCTCTCTCAGGCAGCCAGCTAGGAAGCAAACAAGCACATCCTGAGCTCTGACACAACAGGATCAAATTCCCACAGATTTCCAAACAGAGATTTCCACCAGATAAAGACATTTAAGCATTGTACACGTTAATCCTACCCAACTTTAGACAAATCCCCATAAACATATATATTTCTCTTGATTCTAGACTAGTAATAAAGGTAAAGGGACCCCTGACCATTAGGTCCAGTCGTGGCCAACTCTGGGGTTGCGGCATTCATCTCGCTTTATTGGCTGAGGGAGCCGGCGTACAGCTTCCGGGTCATGTGGCCAGCATGACTAAGCCACTTCTGGCGAACCAGAGCAGCGCACGGAAACACCGTTTACCTTCCCGCTGGAGCGGTACCTATTTATCTACTTGCACTGGGGTGCTTTCAAACTGCTAGGTTGGCAGGAGCAGGGACCAAGCAATGGGAGCTCACCCCGGCGCGGGGATTTGAACCGCTGACCTTCTGATTGGCAAGTCCTAGGCTCTGTGGTTTAACCCACAGCGCCACCCGCGTCCCTAGACTAGTAATAGAATCACAAAATTGTAGAGTTGGAATCGACTCCCAAGGATCATCTGGTCGAACCCCCTGGAATGCAGGAATCTCAATTGAAGCGTACGCATGAAACACATTAGAACAGTTTTCAGAACTAGGCAACGAAAGGAAACAAAATCCAATGTATGCAAGCAGCACTATCTGTATGTCAACACTTCCTTACCTATAGTCTGTGTAGGTTTCACAGAGCTGGGCTTGTTTTCTTGAGGGAAGCTCTCCGAATTCCGTGTTGAAAGCGGCTTCGCAGTAGGAGTTGTCGGTTTGTCATTTGCCTCTCCTGACCATCGTAGGGTAAACTGAAGTGTGGGTCCCTGAGAAAATGTTTCAAATGGAGGTAACCTCTGAAACAAAAATATATTGCTTTGAGAGATTTTCAAAGGAGCTTCAAATTGGGACCGTTACAGATGCCACCGCCAGCTACTGACATCAGGCACCTTTTCGGCGCTTGCAAAAAACAGCAAGCGTATGCAGATGTACAGATGTTTTATGCATTTAATCTGTTTTTAGCTTACTGTTGATTTCATGTTTATTTTTAAAGTACCAGTTTTTAACTGTTTTTACTGATAAATTTAATGACTTGTGGAGTGTTTGTTTTTCGTAAACACTTTGAGGTTTTATTACAATTAAGCAGTACAGTGGTACCTTGGTTTGCATATGTCTTGGTTTGCATACTTGGTTTGGATTACTAACACATCAAAACCGGAAGTGTGTGTTTGCAACCTTTTTTTGGATTACAACCCATTTTCTTACGAACAAATTTTTTGGGGGAAGCCCCATTGGTGAAAGCGCGCCTTAGGTTACAACCTGTTTTGGTTTACAAACGGACCTCCGCAACGGATTATGGTTGTAAACCAAGGTACCGCTGTAAATAAATTTTGTTAATTAAATAGTCTATTTCGCTTCAAGGCTTTGGTCCTACAGCTTTCAAGAAGCATCACTATTTTCAAGGTCCTTAAGTGTTTTGAAGCTCCTCACTTTATATACACTTTTCAAGAAGACTTTTTGGCAAATGCCAATGGCACAAACCTTCCCATCCAGTATTGTCTCCCATGTTGCTCTTTTCTTGCTGACTGGGCACTCTTCCATTTCTTGCATGGCTACTTCATATTCCCCATCAAGAAGCTGCAGTCGTCTGTTGCGCAAAATATATGTAAAGAGAAATTAATTTCATTAGCTGGTATTCAATAACAAGTCATGTTAATTTGCATGAATCCATCATCCACATCATGGCTGGGCTGCACGCACACTAGGGCGTTCCCCTTCCTATTGCAGTTCCATGTCACATACCTACCTCAAAGCACACCTGAGCAAGGGCTTCTGCGAATCCCAGCCAGTTCTCTAAACAGTCCAATGTACATGACAACCGAACACAAATATTCCTAAATATATTTATTCCGCCCCCCTCCCGGAAAATTAGCAGCATGACAATAAGGTGTATAGTTTCATTAGAACAGCAGCTGCACTCCAATGGAATTTATTACTTAAGTAGCAAATACCTAGTTAAACCCACCACAGGAAGCCCTTAAAAACTATGATGATGGCACATGAATTCTAGACATCAAGTTCCAATATAATCCATGAAAGGAGAGTACAAAGACAGTGAAAGGCAGCTACTTATAGTTTAACCAAGAACTTAAAGCTGCAAGTTTGTAACTTTTGTTTGCATGTGAAAAATGTATAAATTCAGTATCCTAGAGCAGGGGTCTGCAACCCGCGGCTCTGGAGCCGCATGTGGCTCTTTTACACCTTTGCCGCGGCTCCGGGGCAGATACTAGCGAGGGGAGGAGGCGCATTGTGCGCCCCGACACTACCCACCGTGGCGGGCGCTGTACTGGCTGTGACGTCGCATGGGGCCGGTGCGTGCGTTAGTCACGCACCGTCCCGACATCACCTTCCCGCCCGCCCGCCCACTACATTGTAAGGGACATGTACGCTGGTCACTGCATTGAAAGGGGGCATGTACGCTGGTCACTGTTTTGAAGGGGAGTGAAGAACACACACACACAAAAAGGTAACTTGTTAATTTAACGTTTATTTCTATGAGGAGGAGTAATTTTGAGGGGTCAAACAAAGAAATAATAAAAAAGTGACAAAAAGTTATTTTTATAATGACGAGTTTTGCGGCTCCCAGTTTTTTTTTCTTCGGAAACTGGTCCAAGTGGCTTTTTTTGTCTTAAAGGTTGCAGACCCCTGGAATCACAATAGCACAGCCCACTTGAAGGATGAAAGCTCTACCCTTTTCCATAATAATTTAAGCATTCCACCAGATCAGGACCCCAGCAGTCACATGTTTTAAAACAAACACAGAAGTCAGAAATGTGTGGGGTTTATTTATTGACACTATTTTGATACTATTATGTACACATGAGCAGCTTGCATTTTAAATAGAGGTGGGGCAGTAGGCATGTTTTAGGCAATTCTTTTTACTATGCCACTACTAAAAATGTGAAGGCTGGGGGTGTGGGGAGACAGAAAAACTGGGGAGAGGAATAAAATGTTCAGAACAATATATTTATTCCCCCTAAATAATTTCTAAAAACTATGCGAGAGGAAGACTGTTATGTACTGGAGGAAACAGTTTCTGGAATACTGAATATTCTTCTTTGTTTTACTATAATGCCAGTGGTTTCTTTTATTTATTTTTTGCTTGTTCCTCATAAACTGGTGCAAACAAAAAATGTGGTGGCTTCTTATAGTAGCTCATTTGTAGCAAAAAATTAAAAAAAGGAAATTTGCTCATTTGTTTGAATGAATTGTGTTTTTAATATACCAAACATGACAATTTTATGGCTAACCAATTCATGCACAATACATTTTATGCTTCTAAATTGATGGTTGACTTGTAAAGGTGGTTTAAAAGTAAATCTTGCATTTTTTTCAATTTCCCCCAAAATTTCTGATTTCCTCCCATTGCTTCAAAATTCCACATCTCTAGCCATGACAAAGAATTTATCAATGCCGTTTTTTTGGGAAACATAAATCTCTAAAACTAGGATTTATTCTACAGAAGACATTTCAAAGATTAAAATGAAATTCATGCAGAAAATGCAAATCCAATACATGCCTTGGGAGAAGTCTCTTTTTAAAAATTATTACCTGTTTTTATCAAATACAGTCATTTGTGCTACAAAAGTCTTCTCCTCATCTTCACGGTTGGAAGAATTGCGTTTTCTTCTAGCTGGAAGCTCCTCGTTAACATCTGCATTTAAGCACACTAAATATTATACTTGTAAGGAATAGTAAAGGTAAAGGTACCCCTGCCCGTACGGGCCAGTCTTGACAGACTCTAGGGTTGTGCGCCCATCTCACTCAAGAGGCCGGGGGCCAGCGCTGTCCAGAGACACTTCCGGGTCACGTGGCCAGCGTGACATCGCTGCTCTGGCAAGCCAGAGCCGCACACGGAAACGCCGTTTACCTTCCCGCTAGTAAGCGGTCCCTATTTATCTACTTGCACCCGGGAGTGCTTTCGAACTGCTAGGTTGGCAGGCGCTGGGACCGAACAACGGGAGCGCACCCCGCCGCGGGGATTTGAACCGCCGACCTTTCGATCGGCAAGCCCTAGGCACTGAGGCTTTTACCCACAGCGCCACCCGCGAACTTGTAAGGAATACATATACAAAAATTTTCTGGCATAGCTGTTCAGTAAGAGCCACTGAATTAGATTCAATGAGGGTTTATTTTAACGATTGTTTCAAACTTTAGACCAAGTTCTTTGTTCAACCCCTGGTAAATATTACATTATGAGAATAAGGCTCAGTTAAGAATCTTCCAAGGACATCGAAAAACGGAAGTTCTATTCTAGCATGAAAAAATGAATATAGAAGCCTCAAAGTTAGTATTCTTGCAAGGAGTGCAGGTTTCTTGAAATCTTACACACACATTTCAGTTGTAGTGGTGGCGGTGCAATTGTTATGCCAGTGTGACATCCAAACAGTTCCCATGTTGATCCTTAATTTTTTAATGGGAAATTATTTACACCAGTTCCTGATGGGTGTATTTATCCATGGAATGAAAAGGCATAGATGTGCTCTTCCTCTGTGCCACCCACTTCACTAGCAGAGCTTGTCTGCAGTACGTGGGGGAATTTCCATGGACACATCTACAGTCAAGGCAGTGGATCTGCAACCTCCAGGGTTGTCAGGAACACTTTGTCTCATCCTAAAACCACTCACCCAGAAAAACTGTTGAGTATAGGATTGGAAGTATAAAGCAATTAACGCCCACACATTCCAAAGCCTGCTTAATATTTTTCTTTTAAGCAGCTAGCTGATTTCCCCCGATTAAATGAGTAAGTTCTGGATATACTTCATGCTTACCAATGTTTTCATTAGTTTCACCATTTATCATCCCATTAAATTCTCTTCTTCCTGGACGCGTTACTCTGAATAATAGTGAGTAAGACTTCACCATATGGCTGTTACTGGGTTCAAATTCGTTGCTGGAAACTGCTAGCGATGGAAAGCTGCCTGGTTTCATTTGGTTGAGGTCTGGATTCAAGGGCACCTGCTTTTTACCAGTAGGTACTTGCCTTACTGGACAACTAACATCCTGTAGACACAGAACATATTTAATACTTTTCGGTATCTGGATAAAGTGAAAATGAAATGCCTGTGAGGTTTAACGAAGACCCATTGGGGGGATGGGAAACAGTTTATAAATGATGAACATGTTATTGTAAAACTCCCTCTTCTATAGATTATTGTGTAGTCTAAATCTAGGATATGACACATATGATGAAGTTAACAAATCTGCTTAAAGTGAGAGAGAAGACAGCAAATAATCTCTTTCAACATTTACTGAATTCATTATTTTATTAGAGCAACAAAGCACAAGATTCTGTGATTCCATATTCTTTGGGGGAAGTTTAAAAGCAGAGAATACAGACAATATATTAAAATAAATTGGAAAATGATTATTACTTTTTTCTTTATGACTTGTAGAAATACTTAAATGATTGATTTTCCACCAGGGAAAATGTGGGCTATAATTAATAATGATGATGATGATAGCAGCAGCATTTTGGAGATCTTACAGTATTAAATTTAACTGTGGCCTATTGTATTATATTGTATTTAAACGCCTTTGCAGAGTCTCATTAATAAAGAAAATGGTTTATATATATTTTTAGGAAACTCGACTGTTAAAAGCTGCTTTCTCCTGCTATTGCTAAACCATGCCTAAACTTACCTTTCGTTTCTTGTGGCAAACCTTTATAAGCAGTACTTCCAGAGTTACAGAACTTTGTTCATTTTCTGAGTTTTGCAATGGCTTATCTAAAAAGAGCCCAAGGGGGGAAATGTTTTAAACTTCTGAAAGAGAGGTTCTACCCCAGTGCAACCCAGATACATATCTGCCAGTCTAGGTGCTGTCTTTTTGCTCTAGTGTGTCACTGGCCCTTTAAACTATCTAGAGAACCTTAAGCACAGGCCCTGTAGCACTTTACTCCATTACCCAATTTGTGTGCAGGGCAGAGAGGAGGAGAGAGATCAAGGGGAGAGTTGAATGGAGAAGTGCATGTTAACTCTCAGCTGTGCTCACTGGAGCCACTGCTGAAGCCCAGGGTTAATAGTCACAAGATGGGGCAAATGACAGGGCCTACTGAGGCTGATACTGGATCCCTGATGTCCCCCTCTTCTTTTTCAAGCTGCTGCTAGGGTGGCAGTGCTCAGCCCAGCACTATAAAGTGCTGTGTCAGGTGAGGATGAACCCACTACCAGGTCCAGAGTAATTCCAGGGAAATGAAGATTACATGCAGCTGCTTCGTCTATTCTATCAAGGGACTGGGCCTTACTGCTGCCAGCTCACCACCTCCCTAGTAACTATATTTTTTTAAAAAGCAATTTCATTAGCTAATGAGAAGAAATCCCATAGGACAGAGCAAGGGCTCCAGCAGGGCACTTGGACCACGTCCCCCTGAAACCTGATTCCAACCCTGCAACAGCTATTCATTTTGGGGAGCAAGCACACAGCAATTTGCAGAAAAAGTGGACTGTTGCCATTTTCACGGACATGTAGAGCTCAACACCTTCTGACAATTTAACACCATTCAACCGAGAGGCCAGTCTTTAATGTTGTCTGCCTGCACATGTCCCAATAAAATTACATGGGTTACAGCACTAAAATTTAAATGTATCTTGATTCTAGCTTAGATAATTTCTACTGTTATTTTTAAGTGATCTTGGTTGTTTCTCCATGATAACTTAGCATCCCAAAATATTAAGTGTACTATAAAATGATATACCATTCAGCTTAGTCATAATGAAAGGATTTTATAAGGACACATTTTGCAGTCTACAAGCAAACCACAATAAATGCTATTTAACCCAGTGAAAATGCAGAGGTCTATGAACCTCAGTTACACACCAAAACATTCCTTTATCATCAGTAAATGACATTGAAAGGAAACGTGTATGATGAAATACGTACCATTTTTATGGAAGAAACCAGTAAAGGTGAGTTGTAGATGAGCAGACAAGCTAAAATAAGGAAAGAAATATTGTTTCACTCTTCAAACATTCTAGGCACATTTAAGAAATGTGAGAGAAGATGACAACCAGTAATATTTTTTAACATTTATTTTCTTAATCTAACCTGGCCTCATTCATTCAATTGCACCCAGATTACGTTACAGCAATGCACTTCACAAATAGCGGCCTTTTTAGACAGTTTAGGAATTTCTAGAAGTATCTGGCTGGCCAATGCAGGATGTTAATCAGATGGGTCCTTCTCATGTTCTTATGAAAACATGAAACATGCCTCCCTTTAGCAACATCATGGGACAAAGCATTGGCCCAGGAATTTCCTGAAGGGATTATACTTAATGGTCAAATCAGTGTTTTTCACTCATATTTTGGATCGTATCAGAACTAGATGATTGTGCACATGGAGTCAGTTCAAGTGCAACAATGCTTCCCTTCCTTTATTAATTGTATCTGTTTTTCCTTTATTTTTATTGTGTGCCCTCTCAGGAGTTTTATGCTTAAGCAGCCTGTGATTTTTTTTCTTACAATAAATAATTGATAATAGGGTCACCGATTCATTAACAAGTTCAAAATAGCTTTCTTTGCTTTGTATTCAATTCAGGTTTTTAAACAGGGTAATTTTAAAAATTCATTTATACCCTATCTTTCCAAATAGTTCAAGGTGGCCAACAAAATTAACATTAAATTATGATATGAACGATAACACATAATTAAAAACTGTACAGCAACAACAAAACAAACAAACACCTTAAGGATGGTCAACCAAGTGCACTAAAATAACTAACAAACCAAGGTTTTCCCTAAAGTGGAAGGTTTTCACATTGCGGTGGAAGACATGTCAGGTAAAGAGTGAGGTACATGTGTCTGGGAGGAAATCCCAAAGTCTGACCAAGGCCACTAAAAAGGCCATCACTCTGGTCCCAGGAGCACAAAAGTTCTCCTGTTAATTATCTTAATACTTGAGCAGACTCATAATGGAGAAGATGGTCCATCAAGAATCCTGGTCCCATACCATACAAGACTTCACATGTCTTAACCAGCACTTTGAATTGGGCCCAGAAACCAACTGAAGGCCAATTCAGCTGTTCCAACAATGATGGCACTTACCCCTGGCATTCACCTCTAGTTAATATCCTAGCCATCAGAGTTTATTTTTCTGAACACTCTTCATAGGCTGCCCCATGAAGTAGTTCAAGCATGATGTGATCACCCGAGCTGGGCAAAACCGTATTCCACCACAGCTTGTCACCTGGTGACCCAGGGTCAAGGCTGGGTCCAGAATTACTCCCAAAATATGAAGCTGCAATTTCAAGTAGATACTTCCCCATCTATCAACTGATATGTTGACAATTGGGAGTCATAGGAAATAATTAAATAATGATGATCAATAAACGTATTCCTATCTACAACATAGCACAGGCATTTTATGAAGGTTTTCTGGCAAGGTTTCGGCATATTCACTAACACAAATGCAACAACAGTTTTGAACAACAACAAGCAACGTGCAGCAATAGATGGAAAGGTGTGTTTTCGCACATGCACTACAGAATAAACTGTGATTCAACTACATAATGGAAATCAATGAAATTTCAAAAACAAATAAATTACTAGAGCCGGTTTGCATGTTTTGCCGCTTTTCAGGAAGTGACTGTATGTTTTATTTCATCCATATTAAGAGCTAAACACTGTAGCGCAAGTTTACCAGAGAACAAACAGACACCACACGCAACACCTCTGGTAAAATTAGTTTGCAGGTATTTTATTATGGGAGGAGCAGAATTTCATTATACTTCCAGTCATATTTCAGTATGACTTCTACTGACATAGAAAATACATAATCCCATTTGAAACACTGTTACTGAAACATTCTTGGTAGATAAAATGAATGTTACCTTTGCAAGTCGTGTTCTCCCTGTTTTCTCTCTACTTTCGTCAGCATCCCGTCTACTCTGAATGTTTTCCTGTAATAAAAGTTGTGTTTTTTTGAAATTTCACTGATCTCCATTATGTTGTTAAGTTTTGCTTCATAAAGATTTGTTCCAATAGCTTTTTTTTAGGACCTGGAAGGGAGTCGGGTGCACCAAGTTGTGAAATACTTCACAATATGACACAGAAAGCTAGTGTTTAGCCGCATGATGTTAATCCCTAAATACTTTGTCTTTCAATCATGGCTATTTTCAAAACGTTTCAATATTTACGCTTAGCTCAAGAACACTTACAGAAGTAAAATGTACTATCACTTAAGAATCACCACAGGCATAAATAGACAAAGGTATCAGAAACTGAATTCTAGTTACAGAACTAGAATTTAGAAAAGCTGTTTTTGCTTTGTGGGAGCTCAGCTGAACACTAGCGACATTCCTTATACTAAAAACATTCAGGTCTGGCAGTGTGCCAGTGTCTTCATATGACAGCCCTTTACTAAATACTGGGGTATAGTACAAGGACGACTTAGGCCAGGCATAAGCAAGTGGTTGCTAGATGCACTTCTCTAAGAAGATAACAAAAAAGGTTACACAATCGTTTAGATCAGCCTGTCAAACTGAAAATAATTCACAACTGAGAAAAGCTGGTTTCTTATCAAATAGATCTTGAAATCCCATACCTGACTGCACTCGTCAAGCTTTAATACTTTTATTTCTCAAGTTGTAAAAGACTGAGAAATTAAATAAGTATATAATTGGAAGGTACTTCCCTTTCCAATTCTAAGGACAAAAAATACAAATATGAGAGAATGTTCATACAACATCCATGTTAGGCTACAGTTAACCTACTTTTTAAAACAACGATAGGAAATTTCAAATAAGGTCTAAGTACAATCTGTAAGGCAAAGGACAAAAGTAAAAAAAAAAAAGGAATAGTGCAAGTTCCTTAAAGGCTTAAGCAATGCTATTTTCATTGCTTTGTAAATAATTTACTCAAACGGAAACATGAATATATATTTATACTTGCTTTTACTACAATCCACCAAGTCTTCGAATGTTGTGGGTGAATACAGGGTAAGTTAATAAAGAAACAAAGTTCATCCACGATTTGATTCTGGGTGAGGAAATAGACATGTTGCATACTACGAGTATCTGTTTGGGGGAAGGAAGCGTAAATCTCCAATGTCTGCCCACCAGGCTGATTGATGCAACAATCTCCTGAATCGGATGAGTATGCATGTGACCCTAGGATTCAATACCCTTTTTCAAGGAGCCTTGTCCAACACTCTGCTAGCTTCCATTGTGTGTCCTTACAACTGGGTTTATAAAGACAGGATACTAAATTTGTAGAATTTGTACCCTGCTCTTCAGCCAAAAAGGCTTTCAGAGGTGCTTACATGAGCAAAACAAAACAGTCCCTACCCGCAGGCTTACAATCTAAACACACACACACACACACATGGACGGAAGATGGGGGAAGTGACACCAAGGGTTATCTACTCCAAAGCCCTGCTATGTGGGAATCTCAGCTAAAGCATCCTTGACAGGTAGCCATCCAACCTGTGCTTTAGAACATATAAGGAAGAAGCACCTGCCATCTTCCAAGGGGGTCAGTTCTGTTGACAGCTCTTACTGTCAGAAAGCTCTTCCTGATGTTTACTAGTAATTTCCTTTCTTGTAACTTGAATCCATTGGTTCAGGTCCCAAGCCTGCTCCGCCTTCCATGTGACAGCCCTTTCAATATCTCCTGTCTCCTCTTTTCCAGGCGAAACATATCCAACTTCCTCAACCACTTCTCATAAGGCTTTGTTTCCAGACGCTTGATCATCTTGACTGTCCTACTCTGCATGCATTCCAGCTTGTCCTTCTCAAATTGTGGCGCCCAGAACTGGACACAGTGTGGCTGACCAAGGCAGAATAGAGCAGCACTATTACTTCCCTTCATCTGGACGCTATATTTCTGTTGATGCAACCTAAAATAGCACTGGCGTGTGTTTTTTTGCTGTTGCATCACACTGTTGCCTCTTTTGGTCTATTATGATCCCAATATCCTTTTCATATACAGCGGTACCTCGGGTTAAGTACTTAATTCATTCTGGTGGTCCGTTCTTAACCTGAAACTGTTCTTAACTTGAAGCACCACTTTAGCTAATGGGGCCTCCGACTGCCGCCGCACGATTTCTGTTCTCATCCTGAAGCAAAGTTCTTAACCCGAGGTACTATTTCTGGGTTAGCGGAGTCTGTAACCTGAAGCGTCTGTAACCCGAGGTACCACTGTATACTACTGGCAATCCAGCTGTCCCCCATTTTATATTTGTGCAGCTGGTTCTTCCTGCCTAAGTATAGAACCTTGCATTTCTCTCTACTGAAATTAATTTGGTTAATTTTGGCCCAGTTCTCCAATCTGTTAAGGTCATTTTGAATCCCAATTCTGTCTTCAGTGGCATTAGCTACCCCCCCCCCCAGTTTGCTCTCATCTGCAGTTTTGATTAGGTAAAGGTAAAGGTACCCCTGCCCGTACGGGCCAGTCTTGACAGACTCTGGGGTTGTGCGCCCATCTCACTCAAGAGGCCGGGGGCCAGCGCTGTCCGGAGACACTTCCGGGTCACGTGGCCAGCGTGACAAAGCTGCATCTGGCGAGCCAGCGCAGCACACGGAACGCCGTTTACCTTCCCGCTGGTAAGCGGTCCCTATTTATCTACTTGCACCCGGGGGTGCTTTCGAACTGCTAGGTTGGCAGGCGCTGGGACCAAGCAGCGGGAGCGCACCCCGCTGCGGGGATTCGAACCGCCAACCTTTCGATCGGCAAGCCCTAGGCGCTGAGGCTTTTACCCACAGCGCCACCCGCGTCCCTGCAGTTTTGATTAACATCCCATTCAATTCCATCATCCAAATCATTTGTAAAGATGTTGAACAACAAAGGGTTCAGGACAGAACCCTGCGGCAACCTACTTGCCACTTTTTCCCAGGATGACCAGGAACCATTCATGAGCACTCTTTGGGTTTGGTCAGTCAACCAGTTACAAATTCACCTAAAAGTTACTTTGTCCAGTCTACATTTTACCAGCTTCTGCACAGGAATATTGTGAAGGACTTTGTCAAAAGCCTTACTGAAATCAAGGTACACTACATCCACAGCACTCCCCTAATCCACTAAGCTGGTAACTATAAAAAAAAAGAAAAATGAGATTCATCTGGCATGACTTGTTTTTGAGAAACCCATGATGGGTTTCAGTAATCACAGCATGCTTTCCCAAGTGCTCACAGACTGTTTAATTATCTGTTCTAGGACCTTTCCAGGCATTGATGTCAAGCTCACCAGTCGGTAGTTACCTGGGTATTCTCCCCCCACCTTTTTTAAGATGGGGACAATATTCACCCACTTCCAGTCTACAGGGACTTCACCTGTTCTCCAAGAATTCTCAAAGATTATAGACAGAGGTTCTGATATTACATCCAAATAAGATCACTGTTCTTTCCCTCTCCTACAATTTTTACACAATCTGCCATCCATGCTCAAAATCTTAGATATCGTCACGAGTGTACACATCATTTATTTTGAGCAGGTTGTACCCCTCAGTTTCTACATTCCAGCCACAAGTCTCATATGGGTCATATTTGTCGTCCTATAAGAGCTCAAGTTCTTCTTGCTTGCTTCCTGTACTTTGTGCATTCGTGTAGGGACAACTAAAACCACCAGTCATCCCTCCACACATTGCTGCCCCGTCCTCCGCCACCTGCTGCCACCACACATCTTTTCCTTCTCTGGGGAGTGGCAGAAATCACTCTGTACACTGTACCTTCCACTACTACCTCAATGTATTCCAAGGCCTGCAGTTGCTGTTCTTGCTCCTCAGGCTGAGAATCAGTATCTGAGGTGAGGACGTGAAATTGTAGCTCGAGAGACACAGCATGGCTCCTGACAGTCCTGGTTTTCTGCCTAAAGTTGCTGTAGCTTCTCTTCCAGCAAGGCAACTAGCTTGTACTCACTGCAGGTGCAGTTTTGCATTCTCAGGCAGGAAGACAAACATGGCACTGGTGTTGCAGGTCACTGAAGCAGCTCCCTCGCTGTCAATATCTTTTGGTCCTACATGCACCATGAGACAGCACTCCAGGCTTCTCCCTCAAACTTCTCCCATAAACACCCCTGTTTACAAGTCCCTCCAATGCTCCAAACACATTCCTCCCTCCCTAGGAACTCTCTTGACTTTGACTCTCTTGACTTTGTGGAATTTAAATATTGTTCCCAGCAAGGCCATTTGTTCGTGTCCCCTAAAGCACCTTTGTCTTGGTTGGATCCAGCTTAAAGCACAGAACTCTTGACTTTGTGGACTTTAAGTATCATTCCCTGCGGGTCATTTGTTCGTGGCGAAGGGAAATGTGATACGTTTTGTTAATAGGAGGGTGGGTGTGTACAACTCTGCTAAGTAACCCTTTTCTCACTAGAATCTATATGGGATCTCCTACTTTGTACTGCCCATTGCAAACGTAAGAGCCCTGATGGATCAGACGAAAGGCCTATTGTCATGCTTCTTACAATGTCCAACCAGATGCCTGTGGGAAGTCCTGCAGTTTGCTCTAAAGCAACTTTTCAGACCTTCCCATGCCTTATACTTTTGATTTTTCACAATCTGAGAATGTGGACAAGATTCTTGAAACTGAAAGACCCAGCATGATCTTTGTTCATCATGGCTTGTAAATTCAGCCAGAACAGGGTTTGGGTTGCAGAGGTCGTTTGACAGCACTTAAGTAATTGTGAAGACACTCTTGAAGATATCCTTGCACTTCTCTCCAATATAAATGAGTTTTGCCCAGTTTCTAATCTGCATTTTTGATTAAGATACCTGACCATGTTGTGGTGAACCAGCTCCAGCCTTTTTGAGTCCTAAACAGTGAGGCGAGGAAACACTGACTCCTGCATGAATCTGTCCAGAAAGTCTGTTATGGGTCTCCTCTAAATTCCATAATGGGAGGCCCTCTTCCATGTTCCCCTGCTACCTGAAGAATGGTGAGCGAGCACAAGAGTGGGCCTTCTCACCTGTGGCATCCATATTGTGAAATAGCTCTTTTACAGAGGTATGGTTTGGCCCCCCTAATACATCCTGTTGTTTGGCGGGTGGTAAAGACAATTTTATTTCAGCAAGTATTCTCCTAATTTGGTCTCTCTGTTTAAACTGATGGCTTTTACAATTTAATTCTTTGTACTTTATTATTTGTAGCTGTGAGCTGCCTTGAGAGTACACTTCAGGAAAAAAGAAAGAATAAAAATATATTCAACAACGTTGTTGTTTTTGCTTTCGCAGAACACAGTTGACATGACCATCATTCACCTACAATTCAGATGACCTTATTTTGCAATTCTCGTAACATAGTTACTAGCCCTTAACACATTTTAATAGTCATTTATGTCACACTGTCATTTATACCACATTGCTGGAAACAACCAAATCTCATTTACAAAAGCTTCACTGCCTGGCCTCTTGGATGCAGTTCTTTCTTACCAAATGTTTACCAGTCAACTAACTATATGAATTAAAGATTAAAGCTAAGAATCTAGCCCTTTTCAGAGTGAAATGTGGCATTTACCAATGCTGTCTACCAATTAGCAGCAGTAGAGAGAAACATACACAATGGCAGCTTTTGCATATCACAGTAAGCTATGACTTACTATGCACAAGAGAATAGCAGCTATTTTGCTACTTCCCTCTTGGGATGGGAGAAAACAAACCCATGTCCCCCAGTTTAGTGTTAAAGCCCAATTAGGAACCAGTTTATTTTGCTCAAGCTATTAACTGGTATGCCAAGAAGAAACATTGGCTTATCAGTATGGTTTTCTTTAAAGAGCATAGCAAAGCAAAGCAAACCATGATCACTTGTTTGGACTGCTAAGCCAGTGGTCACAATTTGCTTCCTCCCAATGTGACTGAGGAGTGAAGCAAGCACAATTCATTTGAACATGGCAATCCATGGTTTATGGTTTACCATGATGTGCAAACACAGCCAATTTCATCTTTCTCCATCGCACTGCAGAAATATATGCTAAGTATAGATGTTGCAGTAAAAAAATAATTCCTTGGCTATCTGCAGTAGCAGAAAAAGCAGGCTACCATACTGTCACTAAATGAAAGATATTTCTGGAAAGAAAACAGATTTAGGTTGAGGAATTCCATGAGTCCTTAAATAGCCATGCTCTTTCAATACTGCAACTACATTGAAACAAAGACATACCGAAAAAATACACCTATATGCAGCTGATGCTCCCTATCATCTGGTATCAGCACTGACCATTACAAGTTATTTGACAAAATGTCCCAGACTCAGAACATGATCAAGGCTTCATCCCTCTGTTTGCATTAACACCCTACAGAACACAAACCTAACTCCTAAATCTCCAAGAATGGATTATCCTAGATGTCCACTGACCTGTACTCCACTATGGTCTTCTGACTAATTAGACCTATTTTTACATTATTTAAATCTGTTGGTTCTTGCTTTATTTTAAATGGCTTTGGAGAACAATTCATGTTAATGGGCAACAGCAATGCTATATGCCTAAGAATTAACTCCCATTGCAGTTCCCTTTTCCGTGGCAAGCATACCCCATTCCTTCAGTGTACATTTTATCGCTTTGTTTTTTTCCATTCTCTGACGTATCTTATGCGTATCTTGTTGACTCAAACAATGTTTTGCACCACTAATTCCATTCAAGTGGAGTTACAAATTTAATCTTTATAGGTTATCTGAGATAAAAACATTACGTTGCAAGCACTCAAAGCTAAAGGCAGTTTTAATTATTTTGAAGTGTATTAGTATTTCAAGGCTCCTGATAGCTAAACCCACTGCAGAAGCTCAAAAATGAAGTTAGTTTGGATTACCATTTTTCTTTACTTCCCCACAGACATTGTCTATAATTATTATTTACTGAGAGGCTAAGTTTAAACAAAATATAAAGCATTACCCACATTGACCTGAAGCATAGCATTGTGACTTAAGATGGAAGTACCACAAGCAGTAACAGCTAAATAGCAAGCACAATACAATGTTAATTACCAAACACTCCCAATTACTTATGAAGTATATATATTTTTTCTGCAATGTGATTTCATCTTTGACAGCAAACAGTTGATATTTTTCATTGCTGTGCATCAGCAAAGTGAATCTCTGAAAAACTACCACTTGCAAGCTCACATTGCAAACCAAACCACATGAAAATTTAAGACAAATACAAGGCTTCATTACATATGTGCATGTTATGTGGTCATTAAGTTCATTACAAAAAGAATTTAGGTCCCAATTTTGGAGAAAGTTGTCATTCATACTATACATGGGCAGTACCCTACTATTATCATCATCTCAGTTGCTAGAGAGGGGAGGACGTTAACATATTAAATAACAAGCATTTTTAATATGTGAAGTTACCTTTTGATATTTGTTCGAGAGTTTCTGTGGGACATATACGTGAGAGTTCTGTGCAAGAATATTGGCTGCAACAGAAAATGAAAAAAGTAAATTCAACATTGCCATGAGTGGATCAAAAAATTAAAATAAAAGATTAACAGTTACTCACAGCTATGAGATTGCGGGTGCGTAGAAATCTATATATTTGTGTTGGTTCTGTGAGAGAAAATAGAGCAGTCTTTTACAAAGCAGATAATTTGACACTTTACTAGCTTTTCCCTGCAACAACATTATCCATTCATACCAAACACTTGTAGTACATAAATACCTAGACTGTAATGAAGTAAGTGGGCACTTTCAAGGAGCAACCTAATCGCTATCAGCTACAACCAAGTGACCACTACTGTGACCACTACCCATCTACTACTGGGAAATATGGCAGTATATATTTGAAAATAAACACCCACAACATACAGCAGTAGATCCGATAAGATAGATTAAAAATACTTTTGTGGAATGGAGTATTTCCAGAAGCTAATTTTGCATCCCTGACACTTGAATAACCAACAGCAGCATTATGCCCTTGGATATAATACATTCTATCTTGCTAGCAAAGTCTTGACTACTTGGCTTCTATGAAACACAACGTTCACAAAGGAGGAAGAATATTCAGATGCTTAACCAGAGTTATGCCTGTCAGCGTACAACCCTTCAACATTTCTACAACATCTCTGAAAATATATAACTCAAGTGGAAGAAAAAAATCATAAATTCTTAGAAAACTGACTTCTGGGAAACATACTAGTTCCTTCCTTTAAAATCTTACTCTATGAAGTGTACAGATTTATCATTCACAATTTCATTTTAAAAGAATCAGAAGATGTGCTTTAAGTGTTCTAAGAGCAACTGCTGCCACCCCCCCAAATGTTTTTGTTAAGCTGCTATCTTGTTAAATGAAAGTTCTAGAGACTGAACCTTTTCACTTTAAAAACTAGTTGCTGCAATGTTTAAAATGGGGTGGCAGTTAAAACCTTTTTCTATAAATAAGGCAATTTTGCAAGGCTACCAAATAATCGGCCACATTCTTCAGACTAATTCCTGATCACAAGTTTCATTCTCGAGTTCTCCACTCCTCCTTGACCAGTGTTATCCATACCTTCAGCCTTCACCACACAACTCAAAATGACAAGTCTGCAATTTTTCCCCCTAAATAGAATAACCAACCTTTTTAAGCTCCAAAACCAGAGACCAATTCCCTCACCCTCCATACCTCCCCCCATGACTTTCCTTACAGTTCATAAAACCTCAGCTTCGAAAATGATCTTTTGTGGGGCAAGGAGTCGTTCAATCGCTTAGGAAGACCAGCTTCCCAATAAGCTCTCAAGGGGTTGGGAGGGAGAGAGAGATGATGAAGACACTCGTAACAACATAGTATCAATTTACAACGCCCCCCGCGGCTCTCCCGAGCCCCGAAAGGTAATCCTACCGAGAGGCGAAATCTGACTACTCCTTAAAATCCTTCCGAGGTGGAGCGTGGCCTCATTAATGTAACAATTAGGCAGGGCGCGGGTTTCCCCCCACGGGCAGCCCTGGGGGCTGACAACCCGGGCAGAGGAGCAACAGCATTGCTTGCAGAGGACCCCCCCCCAACCGAAAGAAGGGGGGGGGAACCACCTCCCGCCGAAGGACCCGCGCGCGCCAGGGGGGAAAGGAAGGCAGCCCCGCCGCCCCACAATAAGCGGCCGATGCTGCTCCCTCTCCTCCGCCCATCACGCCTCGACTCGGGCGGGAGGGGGGAGGGTGGGGAACGGTTGTTATTTTCGGACCCCCCTCCCTCCTCCCCCCCCCCCACGAAGCTCACTCTCGAAGGCCTGCAGAAAGAGCTCGTGGTCGGCCTGGATCTGCTCCATCTTCGGCTTCTTCACCGGCGGGAGGGCCGCAGCCGAGGAGGCCGCTGCCGACGACGCCGAGGAGCCGCAGCCGCTCCCCGAGTAGCCGCTGCCGAGGCCTCCCACGGCGCCGCCGGACTTGCCGCCCGGCGCGGCGGCCGAGGTCGAGCCGCCGCCGCCGCCGAACCCGCCGCCACTGCCACCGCCGCCCGTGGCGGTGGCCGCGACGGCGCCTCCCCCTCCGCTAGGAGCAGCCGAGCTGGGCCCCGCGCCGCCGCCTCCTCCGCCGCCGTGCTTCTGAGGAGCCATGGTGGGAGGGGGGGAGAGGGCCCTTTCCGACGGGGCCGGGTCGCGTGGCGGGAGACGCGGGGGGAGCGGCGGCCCGCGAGGGCCAGGAGGCGCGGCGCGGCGGAGGAAGTGGGCAGCGCTTCGACTCCGCCAATTCGCCCCGCCGCCGATCGGTTCTCCTCAAGCGCCCTCTCTGCTCCAGCCAAACCCGACGGCGGCGCCGCCAGCCGCTCCCGCCCCCTCCGCCGAGCGCCCATTGGCCCGCGCCCTGGCGCCGCGCCGCTCCATTGGCCGGCCCAGAGCCCGCCCAGAAGTGACGGCAGAATGATTCCGCGAGAGTTTGGTTGGACCGCGCGCTTCGCCGCTGGGAGCTCGCCTCCCCCCCTCCCCCTCCTGCTTCCTTTGAACTGAATTCGCGGGAAAGCGGAGCTGCTCCTTCCTCCCCCCACCCGCACGCTTTCGCCGCTGCGGTGCATGACGGGAGAGGACGTGGGCTTTAGGGAACTTCTTTTAACCGACGGCTCACGTCGAGGCGCGAGGGGGTTCCGAGGCGCGCGCCTACGTTCCGTGGAACACGCCCCCATAGGAGCAGGAATTCGAGCGCGCGGAAACAGGAGTGGGTGGGGGAGGCGCAGTCGCGCGATAGTGAGGCTATGTCCACACGTGCCGCGCAGAGTAAGGTGTTGGCTGCCATCTTGGTCTGTTTCCCTCCTGCAGCACCAGGTGCTCTCTGCAACTCCCATTAGCCCAGTGGGGGAAAACTGTCCCCCTCCCACTAAATAAAGTAAATAAATGACAATTTGCATCGCAGATAACTACACCCCCACCATGTGTGGCCCATGGCCACAACCAAGCATATGGGGAGATTGTCATGGCCCTCTTATTTTTTACTCCTTTGCCTGGGGTGGGCGGACGCGGGTGGCACTGTGGGTTAAACCCACAGTGTTGGTGCTGACCTTTAAAGCCCTAAACGGCCTCGGTCCTGTATACCTGAAGGAGCGTCTCCACCCCCATCGTTCAACCAGGACACAGAGATCCAGCTCCGAGGGCCTTCGGGCGGTTCCCTCCCTGCGAGAAGTGAGGTTACAGGGAACCAGGCAGAGGGCCTTCTTGGTAGTGGCGTACGCCCTGTGGAACGCCCTCCCTTCAGATGTGAAGGAAATAAGCAGCTATCTTCTCTTTAAAAGACATCTGAAGGCAGCCCTGTTTAGGGAAGTTTTTAATATTTAATGCTGTATTGTTTTTAACACTTGATTGGAAGCCGCCCAGAGTGGCTGGGGAAACTCAGCCAGATGGGCGGGGTATAAATAATAAATTATTATTATTATTAAACCACAGAGCCTAGGACTTGCCGATCAGAAGGTTGGCGGTTCGAATCCCTGCGACGGGGTGAGCGCCCGTTTCTCGGTCCCTGCTCCTGCCAACCTAGCAGTTCGAAAGCACGTCAAAATCCAAGTAGATAAATAGGTACGTCTCCGGCGGGAAGGTAAACGGCGTTTCCGTTCACTGCTCTGGTTTACCAGAAGCGGCTTACTCATGCTGGCCACATGATCCGGAAGCTGTACGCCGGCTCCCTCGGCCAATAAAGTGAGATGAGCACCGCAACCCCAGAGTCGGCCACGACTGGACCTAATGGTCAGGGGTCCCTTTACCTTTACCTGTGGTGGGCAGCCTAGGTTCAAATGGCAGGAACTACAGTACAGTATGTTTTTTTTTTTTAAGGGAAAGGGTGAAGGAGCCTAATCTTTTACTACTTATCTGCTAGGCTCACTCCTAGTGTCTGCCTCTCCCAGGTTGGCAGCTACTTCTGACACAATGTGCTTGATAGTGTTGAGTGAGAACTTGCACAGGTTTTAAAGGTGAAAGGTATTCAGTTGTTTACAAACCACAGAGTGAGGCCTTCTTGAGGAGAGGTGATTTGGGTGCACTAGCTGACAGAGGTGAGAACTGTTGCTAAGGCCATTTGCTTCCTTTAATGATGGTCCACAGGGGAAGGGGGAGCTCTTCAGTGAATCACAATCTGCAGGACCCACCCACCCCCTTTTGCTTGCTTTTTTTAAAGAGAGCTGCTAGCATTTGTAGAACCTAAAACACAATGTACATACTCTAATAATCCTTTTCTTTTTTAGAAATTGGGCTGCTTCCCTTTTTGGTGTTTTATTCCTGCAGACACCTGTGGTTAAATGCCGTATTTTCTTTACCTAGGTATTTTGTTAAATTGCAAACCCTTAACTTTTGTTTTGCTTTACAATGGATTTGTTAATTTGGTTGTTACTTACTGGACTTGTTTTTATAGGTTTTGCCATTTTTGTATATTGCTTTTTCTGTATCATGTTACTGTTATTTTGTTTCACTGTTCTCCACTTGGGGATTGAAATGTTCAGTGAAGAGGATTTATAAATAATATCCATAACGGCACAAAGTGTTTCTCTTCTCAACATCTTTGAAAGGTAACCCAGAAGGCAGTTTAAAGAATAAAATTCCAGAATTACCGTACTACTGTGTGATTACCCTTGTAGCTTTTCTCCTGTTGATATGCCACCTTTCCACAGCAAACTACAGTTGAAGCAGCTAACAACAGACATCCATTCTTCAGAATTCAAAACATGGTGGGATGAGAAACTAGTTTTATAAAGTTTAATAAATTCAAATAATACAATATCAACAATTCAACAAACAATTCATTACTGCAGATAAACAACCCAGGCTTTATATGTAAGAACAAATAAAAATAAAAATTAATGGGCAAGCAATAAACACAGTTCAGAGTGGAAGAGGACTCGTCTCAGCATGCTTGATGCTTCAAGGTTGATTCCCTCAGCTCTCCACGAGAGAAGGGTGAAAGCAGCAAGACGGAAGTCTTGAGGGCAATGATGGTGCATTTTATTTCCCAGCTTTCCCAAAGCAGCAGCATTTATAAAGTATATAATAAACAATGTGGTGGTTCTGGTAATCCACTTGGAAATAGTATCAAGTGCTGTGGAGCAGCAACCTATTTTGCCTTGCAGGACCTTGACATGGTGTGCCCCCCCCCCCCCGCAGCTTTAGTATTTAAAGGTTCTGGGTTATTTCTAAGATGAAACCCCACTTCTTGGGAATCTCCTAAGATTAAACCAGTCTCTTCTATCCTGGTGTTCTCCAGATGTTTTGGAAGAAACATCTGTTTTACTCCAAACATGCACACCACTTTCCATCATGAGACATTTTCAAATTCTTCCTCTAAACTCATTGAAAACTGGGTTTTTCTCCAGACCCAATTCCTGAGTCCAAATAATTATTATCTATCTTCTCCTTTGAAAAGGCAAAACTATAGAATATCTTCTTCTTTGATGATCACGCATAGCCGAGTAAGATTGTCTTCCATGAACACTGTCTTAACAGTGAGTCTGTCCGTAAGTGACTGTGGAGGCCAATTCTGGATCCACACATCCTTACACAGTGGGGACATAGGTTTCTGGGCGGGAGACCAGTGCTAGGGAGTGGGCAGGCTGGCGAGGCCCCCTAGATTTAGAGGCCCAAGTTGCCCTGCCCTTGCATGAAGTCTTTGGTTTGCAATTTTGGGAGAGTGAAGACTGTCTGCGGCGCTGGGGAGCGGGCAGGTTGGTGAGGTCCCCTAGATCTAGAGGCCCTAGGCTTCAGCCTACTTAGCCTATACATAAATCCAGCCCTGGCGGAAGTTGATCACTGTGAGGGTTTGCCAAACATGCCCCCTCCTTGGCATGTTTCTCCCTTTGGTCCCGAGTTCGAGTGTCTTCAAAGTCCACTTTGATAAAGGCTGTTCTCCAGCTGCAGCGCTTGCAGGCCAGTGTTTCCCAGCTGTCGATGTTTATACTACATTTTTTGAGATTTGCCTTCAGAGAGTCCTTAAACCTCTTTTGTTGATCACCAGCATTACACTTTCCATTAACTGCTACTGAATCATGATTCTGAATCTAAACTTTTTATGAGTCATAATTGCCTACTATTCATATTCAGAACAAAATTAACTGCTTTTAGTTAGCTCTGAATTTGAACGTCTGTAGGCACGACATTTTCCGTAAGTGATAGGGTTGGCATGACCCTTAAATATTACTGAAATACAGATCACATTGTGAACCATAGGTAGCTTATCTACTAGCTGCAGGAGCTACAAGAAAATCTGAGGTTTTATATTCAGTTTGAGCCCATTAATATTAGCTATAGGAACATCTGAATACCAGCAGGTGAATCTCCAGAGAGGCATATTATGCTTGACCAGACATTACATGTGGAATAGTGATGCTTTTAAAGAGGGATAGAAGCCTTTCATTTTGGGGTAGAGGGGGGAGGCATACAGGGTGGTAACAGAGCTATTTCCAAGTGCTTATTTCAGAATACTGGGTCACTATTCTCTCAGTGGAGGGAATTGCTCAGATTTTGTTTCCTTAAACAATTTAAAATGTGATACATACCTTTCCATAAATGACCTTTAAATTGGTTAAGCGGATTATCCTTACACTGATAAACCCCGATCATATTATTTTTTTGGTCAATGGCCCATGTTTTGATGGGAGCTAGCAGCATTAGTTTGGGTGACTTAAAATAACTTTTACCATGAGAAGGGAGAGTAGTGTATGGTACTTGATATATGTGCTCAAGGGAAAATTGCTCTTAAGCAAATAGAAGATTAAAAGATTGCAGCAGCAACAGAGCATGAGGGACAGTAATGGGCCTCCCTCTGATTATCCCGTTGTAGCATTTCTGAGACAGTCTCTCCCCTACTCTTAAAAATGTGTAATAGATCCTTTTTGCCTAATTTTCCGTGATCCGTTCAGATGATAAGCTTACAAAAAGGGCACATGGGAAGCATTTAAAGTGGATTTTCCATGGGGGAAAGAACAAAGGACATGTCAGGTTGCATTTTGATTTGCATTCCAAATCTACTGTGCACTGTTCTCCTGGGTCTGGTCTTTGCTTGCCTGCCATGCGCTGCATTTGTTACTTTGGTTTGAATACTTCTGACAGTCCATAATGTTAATTGTTCTAAGGATCACTTTGTTCGACTGTGAATTAGAAACGAGGTCTATTTTGGTGATTTCCCCCACCCCCAGAAACAGAATATTCTTTTCAGTTCTTGGTTATACTTAGACTGTCTATTTAACATCACACGCCAGCATTTTAAACATATTTGTTGTTGTTTCCTCTATGTTTGTGTTTCTAGCAAAGAGACTTCAGGCACTCCCGAAATATAAAAGCTTTGGAA